AAGAATACAGGTGATCCTGTATCGATCAGGAGTTAGAGACACACAAATGCTCTTTCATACACATGTGCACACTCTCTCCAAACAGATACTTACATTTTAGGGACGATAAAGTTCAGTTGAGGGATCCAGCTGTCCTCCTAATGCCCTAAATATCCTGAAAATCCCCTCAGAGAGTACTAGTTTGAGACGCATCATAAAAATAAAAAATGGTATGATGTAAGTTGGAATACAACACTAATTCTCTGTTTGGATAACTTTTTGCTTAGAGTTTCAGCCATTTTCCTCCTTTTTGTGCAAACTTATTTTGTTTTTGAAAAAGTTTCTGTTTTTGTTTCCATTGAGAAGCCTGGCAACCATAGTGGGCTAACATCTTTATCGAGCCAGTCATCTATAAGCTGTCCCTCACCAAAACCAGCAAGCTTCACTGAGAAATTTCCTGACCAGCATCTAATAATATACAGCTATACACACAAGAGATGGAGACTGTTTGTAATTGAATCAAATTCAGGAAATATAAACACTGAAACTAAGAGTAGAAAACCGACAGAATGAGCAACGTTTATTGGCAGATACATAGAACATGGTTAGCAGCGACATCTTGTGGCAGTTTAAATAGCTCGGACTCTTCCAAGAGGGAGAAGAGAGCTGCAAAATATTTGAACCTGTAAAAATGGCAATATGCAACCACAGCAGAGCGCTAAAGAGGTGGAAATGGTCTTGAAATTCGTCAAATCCGGACGTTTTTTAGACGTTTGCCATTGGCTATTTTGAGTGATGACGTATCCAACACTGGACAAATTAAATTGTGATTGGATATCGTTGAACTGTCAATCAAGGCGTGCAGTGCCCAGAGAAACATTTGCCGTCAGTTGAAAGCGTGGAAGGCTACAGGCAACAACTCGCGCTCTCACAGGCAGAGATTTAGTCAGAGAGAGTTAGGCTTTCCTAACTTTACTAGAATAACTCAATTTTATTTTACTTAAATTATATCACAAAAACAATAATAAATAATTCATTTAATATAAATATAAATATTACAATATATTTATTTTATTTGTATATTTTATATTATATCATTTTATATTTTGTATAGCTTATAATAATGATGATGATGATAATACATTTGTGTCCATTTTAAATCGTTTCAAATTATTATTGTATTGCATTTTATTGGTTGCCACTATTTTTGTATTTATGCAACATTTGTTGTATGCAACATTATTATTGCTGTTATTATTTTGTCTTCTATTATTACAGTATAACTTTTCTTATTGCAATAATTGCTTGATTTTAGACTGATATAAAATAGGTAGGCTATAAATTATAAAAGTAGAATATATATAGTATAAAATGATAAGTACAAACGGATTAAAATATGTAGGCCTATACAGCTACATCGAAGATTTGCACGTTTAAACAGGCAAAACTGGGTGGGTTTTTCGAACAATATTTAAAAAAATTGAATGAAATATAAATAATTACGTGTAAGCTACGCACAGTATTTTATTTTATTTTTTATTTGTATTTTATTTTTCTGTCAAGTTTATTATGGATTGTTTGATATACATAATATGTTGATGATGGTGTTAACGGTCTTGAAATAGATGTACATTATGTGTACTCGAGAATATACATTATATAATCTTGTTCAGGCAATGTATGTTCTTCTTTCCACAGGTATCTCATTGGAAACTACTTCAATTTGGCCTCTCCATTCATTTGCGATTCCACACAACCTTGCGGAGTGAAGCACGTTTGTGCGCATGTCCAGTAGTTCGTCTGTGACGTCGTAATTCTGTAACCTATCCGAGAGCTCCTTGATCCAAACACAGAAAACAGAAACTCTCTCTCTCTCTCTCTCTCTCTCAAAGTTTTAGTTTAAGAGCAAATCATTAAAGCTATTTGGCGTTTATATTAAATATTTGTTTTATGCGTCCATATAATTTGCACCTCCATGAGAAAATGTCCATTTATTTATTCTAAGCAGAAATTCTTTAGTCAACAAAATATAAATTTGTAAAATAAATTAGGCTATATATAGGCTAATGTATATATAATTGTAATTTAATGTAATTTATAATCTGGCATATTTAAATGTTGTGCTTGTGGAAGTAGAAGGGAGAGAGATTCATGTCCACACCATCGCCAATGAGAAATCAAGTAACGGAGTATGTGATTATGGCTCCTCCCCATATTCTCTTTAAATGAGTGAATTCACTGAAATGCCAAACAACGACCGCGATTACTCTGTAACACACCTAATGATTCTGTCATTTTACTGACAAGACCAGACACAAGCTGAAGTTTCTGAAGGATAATAGGCTACCGTGCTGGACATTGTAGGGGATGCTAAAAAGCTGTCCGGACTGTGAAAGATCGTGCCATGGAATGTGAACCGTGTAAAACTTTGCAAGAAGTATTTTTCCATTTCAGTTGGATGACAAGATTACGTAAATCTAAAATTTCGGATTAAGGATTTTAGTACGATTTTTACGTCTGTGTTTACAAGAAGAGCGGAAGATGGATTAAAAAAATATCCTGCGTTGAGGTCTTTAATTATAATATTACAATTATTATTTGTTGTTGCTGCTGTTGTTTTCGTTATCCTCTTTATGGTTAGCTTATAGAAATAAAACGTTGAAAATACAACCGTTGAAATACATAGAATACCAAACACATGGTCATGGACTGTAGCCTATACGCATGGACTCCTTGCTTCTGCATGTATTTGTACTTAGTAATTTAAAATATCACAGAATGGCATCGACAATAAAACATCTGGAGTGATAACAGACACTAAAAAACTGAGATACATTATAACATGCACTGCGAATCATTCACCTCCTCCTCTGAGCAATATCCTCAGTTGGATGCCTAAATAACCTAATAATCACTATTCAGAGACGTTCAGAGAAAAAAACAGTAGAGGGCGACGAAGGTTTAACTTGCTTTTGCACAGGCGATTTTTTTCCTCCTGAAAGAGTTAACGTTATTCCTTGTTAATATCTCTCAGACCAATCATAAACCTGTGATATGTTTTGAAGTATGTATGGGACAAACTGCTACCCACGTTTTTGATGTAAAAATGTCAACTTTTTGCTGAATTGAACTGTCTTTGTATTGTCTGTAAATTAGCAATGAAGACAGACAGACAGATAGATAGATAGATAGATAGATAGAGTGCCTTGTGAAAGTATTCATACCCTTTTATTTTTTTCACGTTTTATTTTGCTGCCTTGTTAAACTGCTTTAAATTACTTTTTTTTCCACATCAATCTACACTCCGTACACCATATTGACAAAGCAAAAGCAGAATTGTCACAACTTCGTAAATTTATTAAAAAATAAAAAAACTGAAATAAGTACATTGCATAAGTATTCATACCCTTAACTAAATATTTAGCTGAATCAACTTTATAGTCTCAAGTCTTTTTTGTTTAATGGGACAAGCTTTGCTCATCAGCATTTGGCAATTATCTGCCATTCTTCTCCTCACTTCTTCACCTCTCAAGCTCTGTCAGGTTGGATGGGGGCAGATGCACATTTTCAGGTTTCTCCAGAAATATAGTCCCTCAGTCCCTGCCGCTGAAAAACAGCCCCACAGCATGAGGCTGCTACCAGCACACTTTACTTTTGGGATGGTACTCTGCAGGTGATGAGCAGAGCTGGTTTCCTTCAAACATGATGTTTGGAACTGAGGTTCATCAGACCAGAGACTCTTGTTTCTCAGAGTCTGAAGGTCCTTTAGGTGCTTTTTTTAAAATTCCATGTGTGTTTTCATGTGTCTTCACTGATGAGAGGATTGAGTCTTGCCACACTGGCATAAAGCCCAGATCGATGGAGTGTTGCAGTGATGTTTGTCCGTCTGTAGATTTCTCCTATCTCCACATAGGATCATGGAGCTCAACTGACCATCAGGTTCTGGGTCACCAGTCTAGACAAGGCCCTTCTCCATCAATTGGTCAGTTTGGCCAGGAGGCCAGCTCTAGGAAGAGTCCTGGCTGTTTCAAACGTCTTCCATTAAGGGTAACAGAGACTACATTCTTCTGTGACCCTTCAATGAAGCAGAATTTTTTTCTGAACTCTTCCCCAGATGTGTGGCTTGACGCAAACCTGTTTCTGAGCTCTACAGGCAGTTATTTTGACCTCAGGACTTGATTTTTGCTCTGATATGCATTATCAGCTGTTAGACCTTTCATTAGGACGTGTGTGCCTTTCTAAATCATACCCATTCAATTGAATTTGCCACAGGTTAACTTCACTCGAAGGGTAGTAACATCTACAAGCAATATGAATGCTCCTGAGCTAAATTTCAATTGTCCCAGATAAGGGTATGAATACTTAAGCAATGGAATCATTTAGGTTTTTTTATTTTTTAATAAATTTGCAAAGATATTAAAAACCTGTTTTTTGCTTTACCATTATGGTGTATGGAGTGTAGATTTATGTGGGAAAAAAAGTAATTTAAAGCAGTTTAACAAGGCAGTAACATAACACAACGTGAAATAATGAAGGGGTATGAATACTTTCACAAGACACTGTAGACAGACAGAAAGACAGATAGATAGATAGATAGATAAGTATGTATAAGCCATGTAAGTAAGTTTGGTAATGAATCACCATTCGTGAATCGTGATCCACTCGTGTCTGTGGTTCATGGACAGTTGACTGATGACGGCACCAGCCATGACATCTACCGTTGAAAGTCAATAGTATCCTACTTGAAGAATGCAGCGGGTTAGTAGGTCAAAACAGAAGAGGTAGTAGCTGTATGTTTTGACAGATTTAAGCAAAACAGTTTTTTCGTTCTTAATAGAAGAATATATGTCATTAATAGGACCAAGAACGGAAAAAAATGCCCAGTTCACTTTAATATTTCGTCCAAGAGCGGAAGGACCAAAAAGGAAGTTACGAAAGCATACTTGCTTGTGATTGGCTCTTTAAATGAATGACAACAGAAATGGTCCAATCAGAGCTTGTTGCGAAGGTAATTCCGTCGCATGTGAGTGGGATTTTATGAATTATGCAAATTTGAGCAGTTGTTCCCCTCTTCGGATGAGAGGCTAGATTCAGGATAGTCGAGGAGTTTTGTTGTTCTTAATAAAATATACAAGTCTTTTTGTTGTTGCTACGGAATATATCAGACGAGAATGACTCGTTTTGCTTTGCGTGATTAGATGGCGGCGCTGCACATCTGAATTAGGATGTTATAGGCCAGGAAGTTATGAAAAGCCGGTAGTGTTTAAGTGCAGCAAACAGTTTCGCCGGTCGGGGCTGCTCTTTGTCTGACACAGAGAGTAGTCAACGCGTGCTCTTTTGTTTGGGGGTTTGTCTTTGTTTAACTGCAAACGGGCGATCTTTGTTCTCGTTTAGGCCTCCCGAGGTTGAAATAATTGTTTTGAAACATGCACCGCATGAAGAAATATTTCACCGAGGGACTCATTCAGTTTACGATTCTGCTGAGTTTGATAGGAGTTCGCGTGGATGTCGACACCTATTTGAGCGGCTACTTCTCGCCGTTGATAGAAACAGACGGAGGGCCGAGCTCGGCTTTCATACAGACCCCGTTTCACCACTACCGGGACACCGCGGCGGGCCATCAGGTGCATCCGAAATGTCCAGAGCTGGACTATTTTTTCACCAGCCGCAGGCTCTTGAATGAAGTGCGTGCGCTCGGGTCCCCGGCCCGCTTCCCCACGCGTGTCAGCGCATGGCTGGTGCACCTGGTGCCTGATGATGGTTCCGATGCAGGTGAGCCACACGACCTGTCAGGGGACCCTGGTGACGAGGAGATAAATGCCGAAAATCACCGGGAAGAGGATGAGCACAGGGCTGGAGAGGGCTTCGGTCTGTCAGTTTCTCAGGACCTCACTGTTTCCAGGCCTTGCTGTGCAGCTGGAGAACTTTCCAAAGAGGTAACAATACAGTGCTGTATTACACACTTCCCGTACTTTTACAGTTTTATTATGTTGCGTTCTCTTCATGGGGCACGCCAGTAGCCCCATATGACGTGCTTTAAGTGTTTTTAAGTGTACGTGTTTTTGCTGAGTTAGCCAGTTAGCTTCATGGCAAGTAGTATATTGCACTCGTGAGCAACTGAAGCCGAAAGCGAAACAATAACTGACCCATCCATAAACAAATTAGTTTAATGTTACGTATTTAAGAAATGTTGTTAAATATGGTCAAATTAGAAATGCCTAGTTGAATGGATCGTTATTGATCTTTAGGCTGTGATTTTATGTTCATTTACATTGCTTTTCAGCAACTTCACGGCAATTAGTTTTTTTTGTGGGGAATAAAGTTTACGAGGTAACTTATCTGTTCGCTTGTTAGTTTGAAGGTCGGTAACCATGGTAACCAGATGTACAGGTGGGAGTCAGGTGTGTTGGGCAAACTTTAAATTGAAATAATAGTTTTAACGTTAAGACCGTCAAATACCATTCATCAACATACACGTGTGTTACCAAATAAATATCTACTGAACTTTCCTTCATATTTTTTTTCGTTTGCTTTGTAATAGTCTGTCTGAGGGAGGAGTGTTAAATTATCCTTTGGTCCAGCCCAAACCTGCTGTTTCTGAAATGTTCGTTGTTACTTGATCATGTCTTGACAGAGCTCAAAGTAGTTTTTGAAATCCATTAAGTCATGTATTTTCCCTAGAGTTAAGCATATGCAAATATATCTTGCTTTTCTTTAACTACCACAGGTGCAAGCAAAAAATAAAGTTCTTTGAATGAGATTAATCTATTGAATGAGTAGCAGAGAATACATTAGTCTTAAACAGGTGCACCATAGTTTGTGGAGTATTTTTTTTTTTAACTCTTGAATGCACTTTTCTAATCACAGATATTGTTTCACAGATTTACTTTATATACAAGGTTAAAGCCTCCTAAGGCAAGCAATTTTAATCCTTAATTTGGACATCCCAATTTCTTTCCAGGAAACTTTACTAGACCAAGTGAATGAGGAGGAGGAGGTGAAAGACGAGAGAGGACAGGAGGAAACCAGCCCTACTACACTGAACCAGCTGACTCAGAGTTCTGCCTTAGAGCAGGAGGTAAACAAACTTCACTGCCTGCCTAACAAGAATGGTGTGTTTACCAGGTTTAATGTCAAAATTTAATGTAATGTTAATGTCAAGGCAATCAAACTTGCGTGACATTACATAACAGTAATTTAGTTAATATTTTACTCAACCAGCTCTGTAAATGAATGAGAACAGTTACATTTGATTATGTTAGTTATGGTTCTGGTAATTCAACTCCATATGAACTGTGGTGTTGGTGTGAGATGCTAAAGGGATAGTTTACCCAAAAATAAAAATTGTCATAATTTACTCACCCTCATGGCATTCATTTTCAAAACAAAAATGAAGATAAGGAAACCTGAAAGATTTCTGTCCCTCCACTGATTATCCACAAAACTCAAAAGTCTTCTTGAATAAGAGACATGATCACTTTATATGGAAAACAACTTTCACTTAGGCTTTTATTGACATATAAATATTGATTAACGCACATTCTTTGAGCTTATCAAATATTGTAAACACGGAAACTCAACTGTACTTGCTTGATGCAACATGAGGGTAAATGAGAACTTTGATTTTTGGGTGAACCATCCCTTTAAATAGTTGGACTTTTTATTTATATATTTTTGCTGCTTCTCCTTACAGGATTTGCTGGGTAGTAGTACCCTTCCTCCACCTCTTTCTGGTCTTGAGCTTCCTCCACGATGGCATGACTTCCTCTCTGAATTTGATGTAAGTAGTTTCTGTGGAAGACTCATCCTCCTTTAGAATTAAAGGAATCAATAAGAACGGTACAGTTTTTATGCATTTGGCAGATGGTTTTTATCCAAAATGACTTATATTCAAGGTACACATTTTGTGTCAGATTTTAGTTCTTGCTTTCCCTGTGAATCGAACCCTTGACCTTGGCATTGCTAGTGTTATGCATAATCACATTATGCATCAAAAGATGTCAGTAGACACTAAAGAATACTTGCATAACTTACATAAGAATACATAATTGTAACAACACAAAATTAAATATATTTGTGTTTTCATTTGTGCATTTTAAGTTCTAGACATTCTTTCAGGTTCTTGTTTGTTTGTGCACATCTGACAATTTTTTACTTTTCCATCTACAGGATTTTGACTCCATGGTCCCCCAACGTATGTCAGACTTAGAAGCTGAACTTCCTAATCCCATCAGCTATGACGTAAGCCTTCAAGATGCAATGGTAACCGGAGGAGATTCAGCTAATAGAAGGCTTGCATCTTCCCAAACACCCCTCTTCCGTCTGGAGTCCACAAACTCTTCTCACTCAGACCCGTCTCAGAGCTCAGCAGGGGCACTTCCTTCATCGCTCTTCTCTTTGTCTGGGAACAGCTCCCGTAATGAAACCTCCCCTTCGCAGATGGGAGGCTATCTAGATGAGGCTGTTTTTGACCACATCAATATGTTGGATCTAGATAATCTTGGTACAATGGACCCTCAGATGCTGGACGGTATGCAAGGGGACATGGACACTCCATGGCCTGAGGATTCAGACTCTGGCCTGTCTTTGGAGAGCAGTTCAAGGAGCCCCGCATCCCCGTCTACATCATCCGATTCATTTTGCGAGGATGAAGGTGGAGCTACAGGCTATAGCAGTGAAGTGGAGTCTCTTTCGTCAAAAGGCGGAGCTTGTGCAGCCGCTTACCGTGATTGGTTGCCTGTAAACCTCGTAGAAAACATCTGGCACGATCATACCTATTCAACCCCACAGGCGCAAAATTCTACACCATCTAGCTGGTTCACAGCAATCAAACAGGAAGTGATGAGCGAAGATGAGGCTGAACCAGAAGAGATGAGTCGTGATGAACATCGGGTGCAGGCATTAGGTCTTCCGTCTTCAGCCTTTCAGATTGTCAACATGCCTGTAGAAAATTTCCTGGAGTTGCTGGACAGCCAGAATCTGTCAGGATCACAAGTCACGCTCTTGCGCGATGTGCGCAGACGAGGTAAAAACAAGCTTGCCGCGCAGAATTGCCGCAAGAGGAAGCTGGATGCGATCCTGACCCTGCAGGGTGAGGTTGAGAGCCTGTCGGTGCAGCGGGATGCTCTCCTGCGCCAGAGATCCCACACAGCCAAAGCACTTTCTGCTGCTGCAGAGCGGTTCGAAACGCTCTCGCGGACTATGTTGAGCCAACTTCGGGATGAATATGGACATCCTCTGAACCCTGAGCACTACACACTGCACTGCAGTGCTAACGGACGGGTGATGGTTCAGCCTCGCACAAACACAACGTCAAGGACAATGACAAGTAGCAAGACGGTGAAAAGAAAGAAGGACAAGAAACCCTAAAGACTTTTTGAGTGTGTGTGTGTGTGTGTGTGTGTGTGCGCATGCGTGTTTGTGTTGACATACAAATATTTCTATGTTTTCTGAAACGTGAGTTTTTATGTTTGAGAAGATATTATGGGGCATTTCTGGCTCTTCTTTGTTCCTAAAAGCCATTCGTAACTCAAGTGGAGGGCAGAAAGACTGTAATAAATAGTACACTTGGAGCATGGGAGTAGCCTTGTTTATTTGCAGGAGAGAATGTACTGAAAACACTGGACGTTGTGTATAGTAAGAGTGTGTATAAAGAGTATTTCTAAAGAGCACATTTGAAAATTAAAATTCATTTTGCTTTTTTTTAACGGTTAATTTAAATGGCAAGTTACTAAGTAAAGATTTTTTGCATATGGTCACTGGAGGACCATGTTAAAAAGTGTGATCACTATTCTTGCCGGAATGAGCTTAAAAGGGCTTCTGGCGTTTTCTCACTCTCATTTTGATCCTAATTTTTTTGGGGGGGAAAAAACGAAAGAAAATATTTAGAAAAATGTCCATATGATGAAAATCAATGGGGACCAATGTTGTTCGTTGTTGTCTTTTGCAGACAAGGTTTGGAACGACATGAGGGTGAGTAAAATTTTTGGGTAAACTATCCCTCTAATATGAGGAACCCCACAGAAATTACCTTAATTTCAACTATTTGTAGACATTAGAATCAAACACAACTTTGCGTTAAGCAGTTACCTTCATAACCGTGTATACGTTTTCCTCACCACTGAGAAATAAAATGATTTATAATATGATTTTGCGTCTATGACGAACAGTGATCACTCTTTTTAAAATTTTCCTGTACATTTACATTACTGTCACTTACATTTGCATTTTACATTTATGCACTTGCTTAACAAGAACAATTATAATGCATTCTGGTAGCTTTTTATTAAGGGGTTACGAGTTTGGATTGCAGATTTGTTTTCAGTTTGGTTTTCCTTTGGGTTGTTTTTTGCAAACAAATTAAATGTACCTTTAGAAGTGATCATCTTTGAAGTGAAGTCACAGTAAAAACAACAAATAAAGTGGAAGTAATTAAATGAAAATATGGAAATGGTGAGTTTTGTTCTACCTCACAGCACAGTTACACGATTTCGAAAAGGCAAATACTGTATTGGTTTAATGACAAATTAATTAGTGAGTTAGTGTGTAAAGTAAAACAGGGCCCAAACAAATGAACCTCTCAAATGAACCTGTTTATTTCTTTTCTTGGCAGAGCGGTTTGATTTGTGTTTGTGAGTAGCTGCTTCTCTTTTTCTTTTTTCTTTTTTTTTTTTTTTTTTTTTTTTTTTTTTTTTTTTTTTTTTTTTTTTTTTTTTTTTTTTTTTTTTTTTTTTTTTTTTTTCAGTTTTCTATTATGTGTGTTTTTGAGCAATTATTTGTGTGTGTGTGTGTAAGGGTTTGGAATACATTAATTTTAAACCGGGATGTTCAAAATCTGTCTCTTTTATATCTTTTAAACTGAATAAAGGAGGACAAAGTAATTGTTGAGTTTTTATTGGATTATTTTTGTTTTATGGTTCCCATTTCACAAAACATGGTTTTAGAAACACATACAGTGCTATGCTGCACTTGACAAAACCTCAAAGCAAACATCCAATCTGCAGGCAAAATAATTGTAACCATAAAAATCCTTGCTGTATCATGCATTTGTTTTGAGTTAATGTTTTTGTATATATTTGAAATCCAGAATGAAAATCTAGTTTAATCTTGTAAATAAAATTAGAATTTTTTTAAACTTTGAAACAAATATCATTATCATTATGACATTAGATTAATACCAAATCTGCACAATTATTTAGTCACTGATCTTTTTTGAAAGCTCGTCTCAGACTGTTGGGCCCCTCTAAGCAAAAAAAAAACCTTACCAGATTCTGAGGGATTCATACAGTGCCCTCCACTAATATTGGCACCCTTGGTAAATATGAGCTAAGGTGGCTGTGAAAAATTGCTTATCCTTTTGATATTTTATTTTAAAAAATCACAAAATTCTAACCTATCATTGAAGTAAAACAATTGAAAGTGGGGAGAAAATCTCATGATGAAATAATTGTTCTTCTCCAATGCATGTTGGCCACAATTATTGGCACCCCTAGAAATTATTTTGAGTAAAATATCTCTGAAATATATTACCATTGACATTAAAAAATTTTAGCACACCAGGGTGACTAGGAACATTAAATTGTCCAGCCATTCAAATTGCCACACTTCCTGTTCCACAGGATTGTAAATATGAGGAACAAAAAGGCCAAATACCCTTAATCATCCGTCACAAGGAGTAAAACCAAAGAATATAGTTCTGATGTGCAGAACAAGATTGTTGAGCTCCACAAAATAGAAAGTGGCTGTAAGAAAAGAGCTAAAGCATTGAAAAACCCCATGCACCATCAGGGCAATAATTAAGAGGTTCCAATCAACTAAAGATGTTACAAATCTGCCTGGAAGAGGATGTGTGTCTATATCGTCCTAATGCACGGTGAGGAGGAGAGTTCGAGTGGCTAAAGACTCTTCAAGGTTCACAGTTGGAGAATTGCAGTTGAGTCTTGGGGTCAGAAAGCCTAAAAAATAAAAAATACCGGAGGTCCTGGACATCTTGTTCAGATACATAGCATCATGGATTCTATCAAATACCAAAAGATAAAAAATCTAAACCTGACTGCCTCTGTTAGAAATCTTCTAATGGGCCGTGGTTGGATCTTCCATCAGGAAAAGATCCAAAACAAACATCAAAATCAACACAAAAATGGGTCACTGAGCACAAAATGAAACTTCTGCCATGGCCGTCCCAGTCCTCTGACCTGAACCCTACAGAAAATGAGTGGTGAACTGAAGAGAAGAAGCACCAACATGGAGCTGTGAATCTGAAGGATCTGGAGAGATTCTGTATGAAGGAATGGTCTATAGGAGAACTCAGAACTGTTATCTTGGGAAAAGGACGTTGCAATAATTGGGTGCCAATAATTGTGGCCATCATGAACTAGAGAAAGCATTTATTTCACAATGAGATTTTCCCCTCACTTTCAATTGTTTTACTTCAATGATAGGTAAGAATTTTGTGGATTTTTTTAATGAAAGATCAAAAGGATAAACAATGCAGATTTATTTTCACAGCCGCCTTTGCTCATATTTACCAAGGGTGCCAATATTAGTGGAGGGCACTGTATTTTCCATATTTTCCAGTGAAATGTAACAAACAGAACATATAGGAGAGGTCGTTACATGAAGTTGTGCAGCTGATCAATAGCTAGATATATCATGTGAACTAATACCAGACAACCTCCATACTTCTGCTATATTCTATGTCAGCCTTTGACATTTGTAGTGGCCAAAGATCTTTGATGGATCCTCCCTACAGTGGCTGTGAATTTTTATGTCTTTAATAAGATTCCTGATGGTAACTTAGATCAATCAGAAATAGCTGATGAGTATATAAACAATTAATGGAATTTTATTCGTCAACATTTAGAGAGACAATGTAAATGTGATGTCTTCATGGGACACATATCAGGATTAAAGTTGAAAAAGAAGCAGATAAAAATGCAAAGTCATTAAACCAGAAAAGAGTCTATATTAGGGTACAGGATCAGGCAACTTGTACTAGGCGGAAACTGGACTACTTTGGAAATAATAATAATAATAAGCCTATGTCCATTTTAGCTAACTGCTAAAAATCTAATAGTTTAGAAAATATTCAACAAGACATCAACAAGTCGTTAAATCGTAATTTATTTGTATTACTTTGTTTTGCGTAGAAACACTTTGCATGCAATTTTGCAGATTCAGGATTACATCAGTAACAAAAATGCATTAAATTTGTAATAGCGTAATACATTTTAATTAGATATTTTTTCTCAAACTGTTAACATTTACAGGAATGTATAGTTCTCAATAATTTAATTCAATTAGTTTTGAGGTCAGTATTGCATGACACTAGGCAAGGCAAGGCAAGGCAAGTTTATTTATATAGCACATTTTGTACACAATGGTAATTCAAAGTGCTTTACATAAAAGAAAGTAAAATAATCATAAAAAATAATCACAACAATTACCAGTCTCTCTAGTAGTATGTTATGATCGACAGTGTCAAACGCAGCACTGAGATCTAGTAGTACCAGCACTGATATTTTGCCAGATTCAGAATTTAAGCGAATATCATTTATTATCTTAATGAGCGCTGTCTCTGTGCTGTGATGCGGTCGAAAACCAGATTGAAAATTGTCCAGGTATCCATTTGAGTTTAAGTATTTGTTCAGCTGATTAAAGACTACCTTTTCAATAATCTTTCCTATAAAAGGAAGGTTTGATATTGGTCTATAGTTGCTCAATATGGTGTTATCAAGATTGCTCTTTTTCAGAAGGGGTTTAACAACTGCAGTTTTCAGGGAGTCTGGAAAAGTCCCAGAAAGAAGTGAGGCGTTCACCACTTCTAAGAGATCTGCTTCCAAACAGTTAAGCACCCTTTTGAAAAAATATGTGGGAAGTGTGTCAAGATAGCATGTTGACGATTTAAGGTGCTGTACTATTTCTTCCAAAATTTTGCTATCAATTTCTTCAGAAGCAGACATAGTATCTTCTTTTTGATATTGTGGTTGAATCTGTCTAACCTCTGCATAACTTGGGGATGTGCTAATCGCCTTCCTGATGTTATTGATCTTCTCAGAAAAGAAGGAAGCAAACTCATTGCATTTGCTGTCGGAGAGCATTTCACTGGCAATCTGACTTGGGGGGTTTGTCAGTCTCTCAACAGTAGCAAAAAGAGTGCGAGTGTTGTTTAAGTTACTGTTTATAAGGTTTGAGAAGAATGACTGTCTAGCTTTGCCTAGTTCCACATTGAAAGCACGAAGGCTATCTTTATATATGCTATAGTGGATTTCAAGTTTCGTCTTCCGCCACATCCGTTCTGCTTTTCTGCATTGTCTTTTCATACTCTGAACTGCTGTTGATTTTCTCCAAGCTGATTTCTGTCTGCCAGTCTTCTTGCTGACTTTCACAGGAGCAATATCATCAATAACATTCTTAACTTTTGAGTTAAAGGAATCAAGGAGAAGATCAACAGAGTCTGCAGAAATGCTTGGTGTTAAAGATATAGCCTCCATAAATAGCACATTAGTGTTCTCGTTAATGCATCTTTTTCTGACAGAGACAGATCTAGATTCAGCAGAAATCAATATATCAAAGAAAATACAGAAGTAATCAGATAGTGCTACGTCCTTAATAACAGTGGATGAAATGTTTAGACCCCTACTGATGAGTAAATCTAGAGTATGTCCACGATTGTGTGTGGGTCCATGCACATGCTGAATCAGGTCAAAATTGTTTAAAATAGTTATAATCTATTTTGTAGTTTTGATTTCTGCATTATCTATGTGAATATTAAAATCCCCTGCAATAGCAAAACAGTCAAACTCTGAGGAAATCATTGATGGCATTTCTGTGAACTCTTCAGCCAAGGCTGGAGAGTATTTTGGAGGCCTGTAAATAATGATAAACAGAATGCGTGGAGCACCTTTCAACACAATCCCTAGATATTCAAAAGACAAGTACTGACCAAATGATACTTGCTTGCATTGATAGACATCTTTAAATAGAGCAGCTACACCTCCACCTCTCCTAACAGTCCTGCAAACACTCATGAAAGTAAAGTTAGGAGGGGCTGTTTCATTGAGGACCGTTGCTGTGCAGCTGTCTTCTAGCCATGTTTCATTTAGAAACATAAAATCCAGGTTGTTTGTGGTTATCAAGTCATTGATCAGAAATGATTTATTTTTTAGTGAGCGAATGTTTAAAAATGCTAACTTGATGGCACTACTTTGTGTCTCCACAGCAATCTTAGTTTTAGTGAGCGAATGTTTAAAAATGCTAACTTGATGGCACTATTTTGTGTCTCTACAGCAATCTTAGTTTGATGCATAATAGGCCGCAGATTAGATGGGTCAGCCGTACGGCTTGAGAAGGCCTTAGACTTTCTATCACGTGATAAAACAGAAATAGAGAAAGCTACAGGCACACTGGGTTCCCGCTTATTCTGTAAACATTTGTGATGAATGTTGCTGCTATCATAGCGGTGACCCGACACATATCACTGAGAGCTGTTATCAGTTGTTTTTGGTTCACCGTCTACAACAGATGGAGGAGGGTTTGGGCCCTGGCGTTGTGGCAGCAGCCGGAGAGCTCTCACAGGAGGAGGAGGACGAGCTGGGCCCACAGTCTTCGGTGGTTGTGGGGCCCGCCGTTTTTTAGTTGATATCTAGGGTATCAACTAAAACAGTGGTTCTCAA